TCGCTACCCTCCTAGTAGCCGTTCAGTGAACACGACGGTATCTCCCATTCGCTACAAAGCGAGCCATGACGCTATGAGGATGAGGCATACAAGCTCTGCGTCGTGACCACTAGGCTAAGCAGGCTCGTCAGGAACAGGAGCAATGATTCTGTGGTTAGCAGTGAGTCTGTGGCCAACAGCAAGAGGAGTGGGCTGTGTGGTGGAAAACCAAAACTTGAACCACTAAAGGACCTGCTGCACCACATGTGACCAAATCAGAGTGATGGTGCGAGCGACTCTGTCTCTAGTGATCTGTAAGCCAAGGTAGTTGCGCAGTTCACCAAGGTCAATACACGTGAGTCTCTACTACAATTCGGACTTCACTTAAGCCAGAGTAGCTCTGTCTGCAGTAGCGAAGACCAGGTCGTCGATAAAGATGAGGACGAAGAAAAGAGTGGGGCCAAAATAAAACAAACAGTGACGGGTCGGCAGACAAAGGACAAAACCCGAGGTCATAAAGAGTGGTGCGCAAGGTGTGATGCCACTCACAAGGTGCTTGGCGTAGTCTGTAGACTGGTCGTCTTAGGGCGTGTTAAATCGGGAACTCAAAAATTTTGGCCACAATTTGTCGGGCCGTTTTTGCGAAGGTAACCAGTTTGCGACAATCGTAAGTGAAGTGGCGACAGTCGCAAATTTCACAAAGAAATAACGAAATTTGATGGCCGTTTAAAAAGTCGACACAAAAACGACGCCGAGTCGATTCCGAAACGGCCAAGTAGTCGACAGAGTGTGCGACAATCGCATGCGACGTCGCACGGTTTCGCCCAACGATAGAATTTGTGATCGCGTCAAATGAGAAATATCGCCGTCAAAAGTGAGACCCCGTCGCGCATACTCAACTACTGTAGTAATTGCAAATTTAACAACTTTTCCGAACCGGCCTGCAAATCGGCCACCAAAGTTGTAAAATCGCCAAAACTGTAAATGGTGGCTGTAAAGGAGTCGACTCTGATTCGGCCACCTTGTCGGTGTTCGTGAAAATATGATGACCATTTGGTCGTCGAAAATTCGGCCACACCCCATTTTTGGAATTGTGTGGGGATTTAACACGCCCTTAGGCTTCAATGGGTCGTGGTCGTCTGTGGCGCCGCGTAGCATGATTTCTTGCGCGATTTTGTTTTTTAGACCGCTGACGTAGCGATCGACGCGCTCAGTTTTATGAATATAGCCCACCTGCTCGCACAATGCCAAGAACCCGCTGGTGTTGTCTTGGACGGAACGGAGCCGATACCAAGTGCGCAGCTTCTGACGCTTGGAAATCGAGGCCGCGATTGGCTCAAACCTCCTACGTTGACCCACGCACCAGGGTGACCTCCACAAAATACCCCAGTGCCAACGCTTTCGTGTTGGGCTATGGATGGTGCTGCATGTGCTGCTGCTCTTTGCGTTTGTGTCTCTGCTTGTTGCGCCCATGCGATGTTGTTAAGTGTTGTGCGTTCTGCCGTTGGCGCCGCAATCTCCTCGCTGCTTTGCGCAGTTCGTCCATGCGTTACTCCAAGAGGTTAGCGAGTTCAATATGCTCCGCCATTTCGAAAGGCGTCGGCCAGCTTAGTTGTTAGGCGCAGTCGTGGCAGCACGTGCTTACGAGAGAATACGAGGACATCGACTTCTAGTACGTTAAGGTGCGTAGTCCCTTTGAAAACTCAAAAGTTGAGTTTTGCAGCCAGCTGGGTTTAGGAGAACCAGTAGTTGCGGAAACGCATGGTCCGAAAGGTGTCAAACTATTATAATGTTTGTGTTGTGTAGGTTGTAGTGGGGTAGCCCATAAAGGGGTACAACCCAATTAGGGTTAGTACTTGTACCAACTTTCTTCTCAATGAAATCATTCCCTCGCCTAGTTTCTGACATGGTTTCAGAGCAGGTCCTGTTCCAGGACCGTTTTTTTAGGGCCCACCGATTAGTTCGCTGCCCGTAGCACCCTACCCCACCAGTCGCGCTGCCCTGCCCTGCCCTGCCCGTCGCGCCGCCCTACCAGCCGCGCGCCGCCCTGCCCTGCCCGTTGCGTCGCCCTGCCAGCCGCGCGCCGCCCTGCCCTGCCCGCGCGCCACCCTGCTAGCGCCGCGCCGCCCTGCCCTGCCCGTCGCGCTGCCCTACTAGCACCGCGCCGCCCTGCCCTGCCTGCGAGCCAGTGAAAACTCAAAAGTTGAGTTTTGCTGCCAGTTGGGTTTAGGCAAACCAGTGGTTGCGGAAATTCGTGGTCCGAAAGGAAAGTGGATCTGATACCAAGTGTTACGTGTGCAATATATCGAGGTAGCGATGATTGCACTGAGTTGGCAAACGGGTACAAATGAGAGCGAAGGGATGAGCAAACATTTATATAAAAAAACATGCACACGGTTACACGGTGCGAGCTAGCTAGTGCGATGCTGGCGAGGTTCGGGCTAGTCCTGAAGCGTAGGCCGGCTTGGCTAGTCAAGCGATGCATGGTTTTGCGGAGAGTCACTCTACAATGGTAGTGAGCTAGACTACGGGGGTTGGCACGAACTACTAGGAGTGATCGTAGCTTTGCTTAGTTCCTTAGTGCTTGCACATTCACGGGAGAAATCGGCAAGAGTTTCCTCTAGGTAAAGTCGAAATTACATAATGATTGAACTAGCAATGACAACAATGACTACATCAGGCACCTAGCAATTCTGCAGCTAGCTTGGTCGACCGCCAGTACAGCTTGGTCGACCGCCTGCCAGCGTAGCGTAGAGGAGCCGCGCCAGCACTGCAGAAAGGAGACCTGCCAACAGAGCAGGTCAACGGCGTGCCAACGCTGCAGCAGAGCGGCTGTCCAGCCTTGCCCCGTAGAAGACAGCGGTGCGGAGACAACTACTACAACAGGAGCTAGACTACGGGCTAGGCACGGGTGCTCGTGTGATCTCTGCGTTCGTTGGTCCTTAGTCGTTTTCCTAGTACACACACTGCTTGCTAGTTCACGGGGTAATTTGGCAAGAGTTTCACTAAGAAAAGGTTGAGAACAATGGTACAATCAGGTTGGCAAGACAAGTCTACATCAGAGCTAGCATTCAGGTCGGTCGACTACCAGCGCAGCATGGTCGACCGCGTTCCAGCACGACTTGGTCGACCGCGCTCCAGCAGTGCAAAGTCGACGGCGTGCCAACGCTGCAGGTCAATGGCGTGCTAGCGTTGCTCCTGCAGTACAGCATCGCACCAGCTTCGCAGGTGCTTGCAGATTATTGGCGTGCTGAGCCTTGTCATCTGCACAACGCACACACCAAGTCGTCCTCGTGCTGACGACTATACCTGATCCGCCACGTCGACCTCGGGATACCACCACCGAGGTCGGTCTCGCCAACGTCGCCTGGGCGACCGTCGTACTCCTCCGCAGAACCTCGTCACCCGGGTAACCTGGTCGACCGAGCAACCACGTCGACCAGCTGCTCCTGTATGTGCCCGTCGACCTCCCAAGTCGACGGCCACCTCTAGTCGACCTCACCAGGTCGACCACACCCCTGGTCGACCAGCTCCAGGTCGACGTCACTCCTGGTCGACCAGCTCCACGTCGACCAGCACAGTTGTCAGCCGACCACCCAAGTCGGCTACCCGAAGTCGGCATCACCAAGTTGACGCCTTGCTACTAGACGCCCAGCTGCTCGGCGTCCTGAGTTGTGGTCGACATCGGCCCCTCCTCCGTCGACCACCAGGTCAGGTCGACCACCAGGCGACATCACGCCTGGTCGACCAACCACCAAGTCGACCAGCAGGACTGTCAGCCGACCACCCAAGTCGGCTGCCCCAAGTTGGCGTCACCGAGTCGACGCCCTCCGCAGGTCGACTTCCCAGGTCGACCTCCCTGAAGTCGGCGCCACCCAGAAGTCGGCGCCCGTGCAGTGGCTCCCGTGCAGGTCGACCTCCTCGTCAACCAGCTCGCCCACTGCTGTAAGTCGGCTGCTCCCCTCACACCCGACCATGAAGTCGGCTCCGCCCGAGTGGTATCCCGTTGACATGCAGTGTGCACGCTCGTAGGTGCGCGCAGACGATTGTCCCGACTTGCCTCGTTGGGCATCCGTCAGCTATTGTCTGCGCCTCACAAGCCACATCGACTTCGGGATACCAGCCCGAAGTCGCCTGCGCCATCGCGACCTCGACGAAGTTCGTGTGCCTCCGCAGAGCTCGTCGATCAGGTTTTCCGGTCGACCTGGTCGAGCCCCAGGTGCTCTGGTCGACCCCCAGGTGCCTCTGGTCGACCACCGGGTCCCTCTGGTCGACCACAAGGTGCCTCTGGTCGACCACAACTCTCGTCGAGCTACCCCCTAGTCGACGGACCCCTTCCGTTGGCCATGTAGTTCCCTGGAAAGCGCAGGGTCGCTAGTAGTACTCCCGCCAAAGCTACTTACCCATGGTTTTTCGTATCCCTCTGAGACGCACATTCTCAGGTCGCTCATTTTCCCATCTCCGCTCCAACGAATCCGAACCAAACTCCCGCAATCGCGGCTGCATGCGGGTGGGCCTTTCGACTGCTTTCCATCCCGACAACAAGACCCCCTTCGCCCCTTCGTTCCCCTCACTTTCCTCCCCACGACGATCTTACTGCAGCATCAGGCCACCACGAGCTTACTACATCTCCCTACTGTATCCCATTCCAATGCAACAAACCCAACTAAGCCGGATTCCGAAGTTCTAAGGTGGAAAGCATTTTGGTGAGATGCAAGTGTGGTGCAGTGTGTTTAGGGTTCGAGCCCGAGTCCATTCCAGCCGTACAGTACGGACCTGCCAGGTCAAAGTTTTCAGGCAGTTACCCCGCCGGACTTCAAAGCTATCGAACAGCGCCGAAAACTTTGACTCAAAATTGGTCTAGCCGGCTTTGCCCGGGTGGTGGTAAGTCACAGGAATGGAATATCTTACTGAAACCGTGGACATAAAATATTCCTTCCTTATCGCGCCGCGATGCTGCCATTACCGCGAGTTTCGCTCCTTTCCGCAGTTCGTCGCCCGCTCTCACCGCACTTCTCTCCATGCCACACGCGAACCAATCATCCGCTATTCTTAGCGGGACACTCTACAGCGAGTCACTTGCTGCGTCCCTTCTTAGAGGCACAACTCCAGAACAATCATCGAGTCGGCTAGCTCATTCTGGCATCAGTGACCGCCTCATCGTCGTTCTTCGCGTGCTTGTGGTAACCGCGCACTTGCTATCGTTCGTCGCCGTCGCCAACGCTGCCGTGCCGACATGCGCCAGCCTCGCAGCTCAAGGTACTGATTCTTGCGACCTCACAAGAGTTCTCTCCGAGAGTCGAAAACACCGGCCTTGCGGCAGCAGCTCCCCGCAGTAACGAACGAACTCGGAGTTCACCACGCCACTACTTTAGCATTCCTTTTCGCGACATCTCGCCAATCTTCTCGTCGACGGCGAAAACACCCCACAACCAAGCCAAGCATTCCGCCCTTTACGCCTCTGACTCCCCCATCTGTTCAACTCTAACCCCGTCTAGGCACGACCCTCGCCTTCCCACCCCTTTCGCCGCCTATTTTGCGTTTCCCTCCGCAGGAGTTGCACATGCGTCACATTCCCCCTCATCTTAAGAATCCCTTCCATAATCCCCCCACCCCACAACCTTCCCACGCCATCTCTCCTTCTCGCCCCACCCTCCCCACCCACCTCCTCTTCCCCCATCCCCCCCCAGCTCCCTCGTTGAACCTCCTGCGCAATGCGGGCTTCGAGGAGATTTCCGATGCAGCAGACTGGCCGTCGCCCCTGTCGTCCTGGGTGCCGCTCGTCCCCGGCGCAGCACAGCAGCAAGGGCAGGTGGCGGGGGAGGTACAGGGGGAGGGGCAGGGGGCGGGGGAGGTACAGGGAGAGGGGCAGGGGGCAGGGGCGGGGGGAGTGGGAGGTGAGACTCCGCCCGGGGACCCGTCCGTGGCTGCTGAGGGCGGTCGGTTCGTTCGGCTGCAGCCCACCGACGGCAGTGGGGGGATTTGGGGAACCGGGGCGAGTGAGAGGGAAGGGGCAGTGTGGCCGGTGCAGGGTCTGGGGCAGCTGCTGTGTGTCATGGAAGGGGGAGAGCAGCCGCAGCAGCAGCAGCAGCTGCAGCAGGGGGAGTTTTCGCTGTATTTCTATGCAAGGGCACGCGAGTGCATGATGGATGTGTCTATCGCAGCTGGAGTGCGGCCGATGCGAGCAATGATTGTCGCCGTGTCCCTGCCACCACAACCACAAGCCACTGCCACCACCGGCAACACTGGCAACACTGGCAGCAGCAGCAGCGTGAACGAAGCCGAGCTGGGCAGTGCGCTGGCAGCCGCTATGAGCAGCGGAGAGATCATGGTGCTGCATCAATGGACCGTTGGCGTTCCCTGCCGCAACAACTCCTTCTCGCTCTCGGGCCTGCTGCCCTGGCGCCAGCACGGGCCCTTCTCCTTCCACCTCCCACCCTCCTCAGCATCTGCCGCTGCTCTATCCTTCCCGCCGCAAGGCGTGGCTCTGCACCTCGTGCTGCTGGAGGGAAAGGAGGCGGACAGCAGCAGTACGCCCTCTAGTGGCTCTGTGGAATTGCCTGTTCCCATTGACGTGCCCGTTCCCTTACCTCCGACCTTGCCTGGGAGTGCGTCCGTGTCTGGGGGTGCTTCCGTGCCTTGGGGTGCGACTGTAGCATCAACAGCAGCGGCAACAAGGGCAAGCAGCATGGTCGTGTGATGGGGTGAAGCGACAGCAAGGCACTTCAGCTCCTCCTGTCTGTCCTCAAGAACGTCACAGCCAAGGGCAGTACAGCCAAGAGCAGTCTCACCCCCGACGGACGGAGGACAGACAGGGACAGGGTCAGAGACAAGACTCGCAAGGTAGTCTAGGCGGTACACAGCAGCAAAGTCAACGAGCTCAGCTACGAGGGCAGATGCAGCAGGAGACAAGAACGTAGGGTCCGTCACAACCATAGCAAGAAGGCAAGTAACAGTCGGACTGGACGCACGAGCAAGGTCAGACGGAGGGTCAGCAACGTCAGGCAGAGAGGACGCGGGAGGTAACGGTAGGACAACACGCTGAGGAACAGAGGAAGGACGGAGTGTCATATCGTGAGTGCCGGGGACAGCCGGAGCACGCGGACGACGAACATGAGGAACACGAGCACGGTCAGCAGCTCTAGGCTCAGGCTCAAGGTCAAAGCTAGACTCAGGCTCTCGACGCTCAGGGGTGGACGCATGAGTCTCCGGCTCTCGACGCTCAGTCAGGGACTCTGACACCGCAGTGTAAGGAGCAGGAGCAGGCAGTGGGGAGTGCGGTAGCAGTGGCGGCTATGACTGGTCCGCCGGTGGAAACAGTAACTGAGGAGTAGTACCTGCCACAGGGAAGTCAGTAGCACCTGGCGGAAGACTGAGAAGGTGGCGAAGAGCACTAGTAGCTCCTGTACCTCCAGCACGAGCAGCTCCTCCAGTACCCCCAGCAACACCTCCAACACCAGTAGCACCAGCACCTCCAGCACCACTAGCTCCGACAACGCCAGCACCTCGAGCACGAGTAGTACCTCCAGCACCTCCAGTGCCTCCAGCGCCAGCTCCAGCGCCTCTAGCACCAGTAGTACCTCCAGTACCTCCTGTGCCAGCAACTCCAATAGCACCTCCTGCACCTCCAGCACCAGCAGTACCACCTTCTCTGGCAGCTCCAGCACCTCCAGTACGAGCACCTCCGGGACCAGTAGCTCCAGCACCTCCAGGACCTCCAGCCAACGCCTCCAGCACCAGCAGCACCAGCACCTCCAGGGTCAGCAGCACCCGCAGCTCCAGCACCAGTAGCGCCAGCACCTCCAGTGCCAATAGCTCTAGCACCTTCAGTAACAGTAGTACCTCCAGCACCAGCAGCTCCAGTACCTCCAGCTCAAGTACCTCCAGCACCGGCAGCACCTCCAGTACTAGCAGCTCCAGTACCTCCAACACCAGCAGCAGCTCCAGTACCCCCAGCACCAGCAGCTCCAGTACCTCTTGCACCAGCAGCACCTCTAGTACCTCCAGTAGTACCTCCAGCACCTCCAGCACCAGCAGCACCTCCTGGACTAGTAGCTCCAGCACCAGCAGGACCGTACCCTCCACCACCAGGACTGCCTCGCAGAACGACCCACGCACGAATCGCCTGCGGCGAGAGCGTCTCAAGTAGAGCAGGTTGCGGTGGCTGTCCAGCTCCAGTACCTCCAGTAGTGGTAGCTCTAGCACCTCCAGCACCAGAAGCACCTCTAGTACCTCCAGCTCCAGCACCTCCAGCACCAGCAGCAGCTCCAGTACCTCCAGCACCAGTAGTACCTCTAGTACCTCCAGTAGGACCTCCAGGCCTAGTAGCTCTAGTACCTCCAGCTCCAGGACCTCCTGAATGACTCGCAGCACCCCCAGAGTCAGCACCCGAAGTCTCAGCACCCCCAGAGTCAGCACCCTCAGGCTCAGCACCCTCAGTCCCAGCACCCTCGGTCTCAGCACCCTCAGTCTCAGCACCCTCAGACCCAGCACCCTCAGGCTCAGTACCCTCAGTCTCTACTCTAGTATCCACAGCAGTAGGCTGCAGAGGCAGCGAAGACGGCAGAGGTGGGAACCCGGGGGGGGGGGGTAGCCAGACGAGGAGAGCGAGCACCCCCAGACTCACCACCCCCAGTCCCAGCTCCAGTAGTCTCAGCTCCAGAGTCCACAGCAGCAGGCTGCGGAGGCGGTGAAGACGGCCATGGCGGGAAACCCGGGGGGGTCGCCAAGCGAGGAGTGCGGCGAGTGGTCGCCGTGTCGTCGGCTACGGTGTCACCTCCCTCAGGTGAGTCAGAGGAGTCAGAAGAGATCTCCACTGGCTCATCAAAGGGGGGTGGGTCTACTTGGGACACACCTGAGGGAGCAGAACCCTGTGGGGGGAGGGGGTCTACCGGGGGGGGACTGGTACCAGGAAGAGGGGTGCAAGGGGGACCGGGTGGGACGCGTGCGGGTGAAGTCGGTAGTAACAGACCGACTCGTCGAAGGTGACGTCCTGAGAGGACAGAACAGGACGCGAGGCAGGGTGGTAGAACTGCCAGGGTGGAGCGTCGGTGGGGAAGCCCAGGAAGACACAGCGGATAGTGCGAGGAGAGAGCTTGCTCGCTTTGGTATCGCGAACAAGGGAGAGCGCGCCCCAGACCTGAAACGACGATGCATCACCAGGCTGTCCCATCCAACGGAGTGTGGGCGAGGTCTCTGGAGCAGAGACACGGGGCCAGAGGTTGAGCTGATGCGCGGCGTATCGGACCGCAAACGGCCACGGGAAATGGGGAGCAGCCGCATGGATCATGGAGGTACGAGCAACCTCCATGATCAGGCCAATGCGACGCTCAGCGATCCCATTTTGCTGCGGAGAGGCCGGAAGCGTGAACGACTGGGCGATGCCCTCATCCTGGCAGAACGTCTCAAGGACGCCAGAAGAGAACTCACCACCCCTATCAGAGTGCAGACGCAGGACTGGGAAGTCCTGCTGAAAACGCTCGTGTAGCTGGAGACGAGTAGCACGGATCCAGGGGATCAAAACACCGCTGACGTCCGCCTTGCGACGCAAGGGGAAGAATTTGGTGTAGCGTGTGTAGTTGTCAACAACCAGCAGGAAGTAGCGCTCCTGGTCCGTCCCACCGACGGGGGCCGGGCCCCACACGTCCAGGTGGAGAGTCTGCAGAGGAGCAGTGGTCGGAGGAAACTCGGAGGAGTGAGGAGCGGCGCGCTGCCGCCCCTCGACGCAAGGAAGGCACGGCGGCGCAAGTGAGCGCGGGAGGGGGGGCAGGGTCTCAGGGAGGCCATAGACCAGGAGCCGGGAGTGCATGCCGCGCAGACGCTGCAAGGAGGGGTGACCAAGACGGTGGTGCCAGCGCTGAGTCTCGTGCGTGAGTACTCTGCACGAGCAAGACGCAGCTAACTTCCCTGACGCAGACGCTCGACTCGACGCAGCTACCTGACCTGACTCAGCCACCTGTGCAGACGCAGTGGTCAGTGTGTACAGACTAGACCCAGGCTGTCGAGTGAACGTAGCCAGGTGACGGCCAGTCCGGGAGCACGTACAGATCGCCACACGCTGCCCTCCAGGAATAAATGTATCAACCCAGACATCTTGAATGGCAGCGTTGCTCACCAAGTTCGTCGAGAACGTGGGGAGGTGGAGACCTGACAAAGAGTCGGAGGGGACTGCTGGACAAGGGAGGACCGTGGAGGCTCTCGCAACCACTGGGCCCCCAGAGGGGTCAGCCAGTGAGACTGGAACAGGTGCTGTGAGTGGTGTGACTGTGGTGCAATCACGAAATAATCAACGTGACGCGCCTGAGTCAAGCGTGAAAGTGTGCAAGACCTCATCTGAGGCAGGACCTGTGGTAGTAGACGCACTAGCACCTAGAGCGTCGGTAGACGCACGGGCACCTAGAGCTGCAGCAGACTCACTAGCACCTGGAGCGGCAGCAGACTCACTCGTACCTAGAGCAGCAGTCCTAACAGAACGATAACCTCCACCACCAGGACGACCTCGCTGAATAACCCACTCACGAAGCTGCCGAGGGGTGGGGTCATCCGGGAGAAGCAGTGCCCGCTGTTGTCCACCCCTGGCCGCAGCAACTGCCGCCGAAGTGGCCATGACAGACAGCGACGGTCAGGAGTAGGTCCAGCACCTCCAGCTCCTACAGTGCCAGCAACACCTCCTGCACTCCCAGCAGCACCTCCACCAGCAGCAGCAGTAGCACGAGTAGCAGCAGCAGCAGCAGTAACAGCAGCAGGGCGGCGCGCGGCCACATCAGGGCAGTAGTAGGCAGTAGCTCCTAGGGCAGAACCACCTGGGGCCCCCTTTTTTTTTTTTTTTTTAATAAACAATTTAATTATATTTAGGGTATAGCAGGGCGCTGGCGCAGGGCAGGGCGCGGGCGCAGGGCAGGGCGCTGGCGCAGGGCAGGGCGCCAGCGCGCGCAGGGCAGGGCGCTGACGCAGGCTGCAGCAGTGCGTGACGCGAGGGGCAGCAGAGCGCGACGCGACGGCTGCCTTAGGGCGCGACGCGTGGGCTGCAGCAGAGCGCGACGCGCGAGGCAGCAGCGCGCGACTCGTGGGCTGCGTTAGGGCGCGGGCTGCAGGGGCAGGACGCACGGGCTCCAGGGGCGGTGTGCGGGCTGCAGGGGCGCCGCGCTGGCTGCAAGGGCAGCTCGTACGGGCTGCAGGGGCCGCGCGGCTCGGCAGGTCCGCGCGCGAGCTGTAGGGGCGGCGCGAACGGGCCGCAGAGGCAGCGCGCGGGCTCCAGGGGCGACGCGCGGGCTGCAGGGGCCGCGCGGACGGGCTGCAGAGGCGACGCGTGGGCTCCAGGGGCGACGCGCGGGCTGCAGGGGCCGCGCGGATCGGTAGGTCTGCGCGCGGGCTGCAGGGGCAGCGTGAACGGGCTGCAGGGGCAGCGTGAACGGGCTGCAGGGGTGACGTACGGGCTGCAGGAGCGACGTACGGGCTGCAGGGGCAGCGCGCGGGCCACAGGGGTAGGCGCGGCTGCAGGGGCAGCACGGTGGCAGGGGCGAGCACGGCTGCAGGGGCAGCACGGTCGTAGGGGCGAGCACGGCTGCAGGGGCAGCGCGGTCGCAGGGGCAGCGCACGGGCTGCAAGGGTCGCGACAGTGAGAGCTAGGGGCGCCAGCGCACTGGCTACTGTGTAGGGCGTTGCGCTACCACTAGGCGGAACGGTGGGCCCATGTAGGAA